CTGAGGGCCTAACATTGAACTAAAACACCAATTTAAAAAAAAAAAGTGTCTATACTTTTTGTACATATTTATAGGCACATATCTGTATTTGCAGTTTATTTGAATTTTCTTAGTAACCTAAAATTGGACGTGTGTCTCATTTTCCCAGGATTTGATTGGTCTGTATCTCATGGCCTAGTAAAGCGGTTTTTGAAATCATTAGAGGGGGTTTTTACTAATTTATGTCTTAAGTGTTAAAAGGTTAAAGGATCATACTGGAATGTGTCATCCTTGTGTCTGATGGTTATCAAACATGAGTAATAAGTATTTCCTCTGGACTCCTAAATATATGAACGCTATATCCACAGACGTTAGTTTCGCATCTGCTTTAGTTACAATTCCTGCTTCACATCGGTCACGTATTTTGACCACAAGTGGCACCAGTTTCATAAGGGCCTGTCATACGCCTCGTGGAGCCAAATTGTAATCATATGTCAGAAAGTACTACTCATATTGGTAAAAACGGTACCTCCTACATTTACGATGGAAATTCTAGTGTTACTGGAATTCATGATGTCCTCTTTTAGGGAAACACCAATCTTTAGCCAAGTAGCAACGGAGTCATTTTGGTTTGACCTTTATCCAGTGTCTCAGCATATGTGAGTAAGTTAAATTCCCTTGCATTGTCTTGGTGTAGCAGAGATGATAAGGGAGGCAAATTTAAGTCAAAACTGTGTGTGGAGAGAAATAAACAAGTTATAATGTAACTGAACTAAAATCCATCAAAAGTATTCAAATTAAATTTAAGATTTAGATTAGAAAATATCCCAGAATGATCCTTTAACTGGTGAGCATGCAGATGGGGACGATCTTATTTTCACGTGGTATGTGCATTATCTTCCATCCTGAAATTTCTGGAAGAGAACGGTTGGTAATCTTTTTGTGGGTACCCAACAGACTAAAAGCATAAAGCAGTTGTTTTAGGGCCATTTGTGCACCTCACCACCAGCTTAAATGGTAAAAGGACTGGGTGTAACCAGACCAAGATATGATCATTTTGTTTTGATCCAGACAGATTAATAAATGTCACTTCGATCATGTGTGTTTTGTCCATATGTCTGCGAGGTAGCATTCACAACCCTCCATAATGTCACCAAGAATTAGTCAGCACATCTCATTTGTGAAAACACTGTGTGGGTGAAGAGGAAGTTAAGTGTGTGCGTGCGTGTGTGTGCGTGTGTGTGCCCGCATATATATATATACAGTAATCTGAAACACTGGTCAGCAGCAAAAGACTCACACAGGAGGAATCGATATGAAGCTCTCATCTGCTGTGAAAGGTAAGGACTTATTATGATACCAAACAGTTTGTTTTTCTTTGCATTATATTCGATGGTGAACGTTTTGTGTCTCTTAACAGTTCTGGGATCTCTGTGTCTGCTGGTCGTTGATGGATTTCCAGGTACAGAATAGTTATGTGATAGAGAAAAGGTTTTTGTTTGTTTTTTGTGTGTGTGTGTGTGTTGTAAGATTTTTAACCTTGGAATGTTTTGCAGTTTCTGAAGATGAATCTCCAGAGATAATTGGACCAGGGTTTGTCCAAATAAAAACCCATCCAGGTAACGCATCAAGCCTCTTTTGATGGGACAGGCTGTGTAGTTGTGAAAGCTTTCTTAGATGTATGGATGTGTTCTGCCTCCTAGGTGCACCGCTGGTGCTTCACTGTGATGCGTTTGCAAACTGTGAGGACGATGTGACTCTAATCTACTGGCTTGTCAATGACACCTTCCCCGAAGACGCCCCCAGCAGCGACAGGATAAGAGAATCTAATGAGTGAGTATCTTTGCTACAATTACAGTGGAAGTGTACATTAAATTAAAACAATTAAAACAGTCTGTAGCTGGGCTGTAATGGCTGTGTTTTCATTAGATCTACTCTAGAGGAGGGTGCAATCCTTCAGAGGAGTTTGCTGTTGAAGAACATCACATCCGAGGACCTCAAATCCACCTTCACATGCGTTGTGACAAATGCTGTGGGAGTGGCCCAAAAACACATTAAATTAATATCAACACGTGAATGACTAAAGATAGTAAATGACAACTGTGTAAAAGATCTTGATTTTCTGTCCTCTGCCTTGTGATATAAGTCATGTCTGTCAAGAGTCAACATTGCATGTCAGCATTTTCATGTAATACTTTTGTTTGGCAACTTGTGGATGGTTCAAAACCTAAACTCCAGTTACGCTCAAAGGTAAAGCAAGTAGCTGCTGCGGGTCATCAGAATGCTCTGCTTTATATCAATCTGACAAACATACAGAGGCGCCATCTGATGTAGCAGTGTTGTGGTCCAGTTGTAACTCTGTTACACTTACCCACATTACAGTCATTTAGACGACTGTACCACACAGTGAATGTGTTGAATGTATCAGCAAACTGTTTTCTATGCCTGTGTACGGTTCCTGTAGTTGCTGGAAAAAAAAAATTGTGAAAATTATATTTAGATACTTGTAAATTAATAACCATGTTTTCCTTGAGAGTTACTGTTATTCACACTAAGATGTTTGAAATAAGCCAACTGCTCACTATTCCTAATAATATCTGAGTAAGCATTTCCACCATCTGTACAGCAGAGGTCAGCAAAGCAGCTCGGTTCCTCAACCTTGTTTTGTTGGGGACTAGATTTAGTTTTGTAGACGCAGTCAACATGCTGATGTCTAAGTTGTGTTTAATATTGTTTAGATTCATGCTTGAAAGCAGATGTAATTTCTATTGATAAATAGCTCATTTAATTTGATTTGAAGAAAAATAAAACAATAAAAGCGTTTTACTTAACATTGTTTTTGTTCTTGAGTTAAAACTAGTTATCAAATATCACCGGGTCTTTATATTGATATCTGAAGCAGATTCATGAGAAACGATGCAGGTATTTTGAGTCAAAGGAAAACTTCAAATTGTCTGTGATGTGCTGTATTGATTAAAGCTACAGGAGTCCATATTCTTTTTAATTATGTAGTTTAAGCTATAAAAGAACTCTTTAAATGACGTGTCGAAAGGCACACGTTGTGGTTGTGGAAAAGATGTTAGTGTGTTTGAGAAGGGTCAAATCATTAGCAAACATCTTAGGAGAGTGTAGGAACTGCTAAAAAACTGGGTTAAGAACTGTCCAATGTGTTATTAAAAAGTGGAAGTATAATGGGGACCCATCGTCTTCGAGGAAGAAATGTGGCCAGAAAACCCCCCTGAATGATCGTGATTAGCAATCACTTAGACGTTTGGTGAAATCAAATCAAAGAAAAACTACAGTAGAACTCAGGGTTATGTTTAATAGTGAAAGTAAGAGCATTTACACACGCACAATGCGAAGGGAACTTAAGAGATTGAGTCTGAACAGCTGTGTAGCCGTAAGAAAACCACTAATCAGTAAGGCAAACTGGAAAAAAAGGCTTCAATTTGCTAGGGAGCATAAAGATTGGACTCTGGAACAATGGAAGAAGGTCATGTGGTCCGAGTCCAGATTTAGCTTGTTCCAGAGTGATGAGCGCATCAGGGTAAGAAGACAAGCAGATGAAGTGATGCACCCATAATGCCTAGTGCCTACTGTACAAGCCTGTGGGGGCAGTACTATGATCTGGGGTTGCTGCAGTTGGTCAGGTCTAGGTTCAGCAACAGTATGTGCTCCAAGAATGAGGTGAGCTGACTACCTGACTATACTGAATGACCAGGTTATTCCATCAATGGATTTTTCCTTCCCTGATGGCACGGGCATATTCCAAGAAGACAATGCCAGGAGTCATCGGGCTCAAATGGTGAAAGAGTGGTTCTGGGAGGATGACATCATTTTCACACACGGATTGGCGACCACAGAGTCCAGACCTTAACCCCATTGAGAATCGTTGGGATGTGCTGGAAAATGGTCAGACTCTAACATCATTAACGCACGGTGAAAAATTAATGCAACACTGGATGGAAATAAATCTTGTGACACTGCAGAAGCTTATTGACATAATGCCACAGTGAATGTGTGCTGTAATCAAAGCTAAAGGCGGTCCAGTGAAATATTAAAGTCTGCGATCTTTTGTTTTTTTGGCCAGGCAGTGTATCTTTTGCTCTTTGGCTGTTCATCTCCCTTTCTTGTTTGCTTTTTGCCTCTTTCCTTCTTTCAGAACACTTTTTTCTTTTTTTCCTCCTTGATCATACTTCACATTACGGTTACATGTTCATGTTTGTCTAAAAACAACAATAAAATGTGATCACAATAAAAGCGTAACGACTGCATGAATAACTAAATAATTGTTGTGGAAGTTTTCCACTTAAATAAAGCCTGCAGACGAGCGGTGAGCGGTAGCTAACATTCTTTAATCCAAGCACACAAAGACAACATACAACCAAGCTTGTGGAGCCCCCGCATGGCCGCGGGACAGACGGTCAGCAGAGTCTTACTGAGCCTAGCATGGCTCTCAGTTAAATACCTTCTCCAGGAACAAAGGCAGTACACAGCTGCTTCACACCTTAAGGTTCACACTCCCTTGCTACTTCCCAGAGTCCTCAAGAGACAAAAGACTGGTCCTCTGGAGTTCCTGTTTCCCC